GGCGGACTCCGGGGCGGCGCGAGCTGAGGGGGCGTGAGGAGGAGGCGCTTCTGCACCCGCCGAGTAGGCCCGCAGCCCCCTGCCCGCCCCGGAGGGAGTGAACGCGGCGCGCCGCGCCCGCCCCTCCGCCAAGCTCCTGTTTCGCGTCGCCCCGCTGGCCGGGGTTCTGGGCTTTGCTTTCGGGGAACACTGGGCTGAGTTTTTCGGTTGGCTGCTGAGTACTATGCTTCCGCACCCTTTACCGTTGGTAGTAAAATCTCACCCCACTGCGTGAGCCCGGGGTCCGTTACGCCCTTATCACCACCTTGGTCGAGGTCCAGAAACCTTCGCCTCTGGGCTCCTTCCGAGGCAAGGATCCTGTCCCTGCCTCAGGAGCTTCCTGTTGACTGTAGGTCGAACCAGCCTTGCCGGGAGGGAAGCCGAAGCTGAGTCCTGTTGGCGACTCTCCCAGTAATGGTGGCTTTGCTTATCTTGGGACAGCGTGTTCACTGGCACCGTCCCAGGGAAGGACCCGAGATGGTATGATCATCCTGCTTTGACAGCTGTGGAAATTGAGACCACAACCCCGAAAAGGGAGCAGCCACAAAATAGCTGTTTCTGTCAGCTTTCCTGTTTGCCATACAGCCAGTCCCTGAAGGAGAAGGTCCAGAAAACTGGGTAAAGATGAGGGTTAGTCAAGGTCTGAACGGGCTGAACCTCGAGGACCTTGTCACTTAAGTCACTGAAGTCACTTAAGCCCTGCCACCCTCTCAGAGTGACTTCCCGTTTATATTTCCTCTTTGGTGAGGTTATCAGAATTATTAATGTGGTATTGTTGGTTTCTGTTGTCTGTGGTTTGTAGTGAATTTCAGAATCATGTTCAACACACGAAACAGAATCTTGACAGTATTCTAGGAACTTAAGGAAATGCATATGAGGGTTTGAATTTTTTTTTCTCTTCACTCACTAGATGAACTAAAGCTAGGCGTAGGCATTCACACTAACAAAAAGGTACACATACTGTGGAGCAGTGCTTTATTTTAGTTACCTACTACAACTTCATCTGCCATTGACTGGGCATTAAAATTTTCATATAGAGGGCCAGCAGGTGGCGTGCGGCTGAGGTGCTGGATCCTACATGGCTGGCTAGCAGTTCAAGTCCCAGACTCGAGCTTGAAAATCACCCCTACCTGAGCTTGGATCTCTACAAAGAGATGAGAGAAGAGATTGCAGCGTGGCCACGTGGAAGAGGTGATGTCTCACTTTCTTTCTCACTCTCTCACTGGCAAGCACACACACCATATAACAAAAACTTTTTAATAAATTTCTTTTCTTGTAGATTTATGTTCAGCTTTTTAAAAAACTAAAATATAAGTTCCTTGAGCTGTTGTCTTTCTAAACTTCTAACTAAATAAAGGAGATACTATTTTCCCTAAACTTTCAGTCTCAAAAAACTAACTCTAAAATACTGGCTTACTCCAGTTTAAGGGGTGAGGTGGCTTTGAATATGTTCTATATAGAGGTTTTTTGGTTTTTTTTGTTTTTTGTTTTTTGTTTTTTTTGGAGAGGTTTTTGCTATAGGGCACCTGCACTGGCCAGAAAGACAGAGAGACAGAGAGACAGTGAGAAATCACTCCCTCCCAACCCCCCACCCCACTGCCAGAGTGGATGGCCAGGTGGCAATCCCTTCCCCTCTATTCTCCTTTCTGAATCTTGGGCACGCACATGTGCCCGCGTGAGTTTAAGCCACGGGATCCAGGACTTGAACCACAGACGCTACATGGGAGTCCAGCGACATATAGCCATTATGCCAACTGCTGGTCCCTGTTCTATATAGAGTTTTAAAGGTGTGGAGAGGTGTCAGTTTTGCCTGCAAATTTTGGGTTATAGCAACGTACTAATGTTTTTTCTAATTACTTCATTCCCTGTTTTAGAGTATTCATTGTCCATGCTGAGCTTCCATCTGTAAATAACCTGGAAAATTTTTGACCTTACGCTTAATGGCTCACTTCCAGGAATATTTAAAACTTTTGTATATGTTTATTTACTTATTTAATTCCATTTGCTATTATTATTACTACTATTATTATTAAATTTAACCAGAGAGAGTCAGAAAGAGAAAGGGAAAGCAAGAAAACCAGACGCCAGGTCCAGGATTCTAACCTCAGTTAACCATGTTGGGAATCCAGCACCCTTAACTACCACCCCTCCTGCCAGTCCCAAACTTCTTTATTTTTAATGCGTGAGAGAGAATCTGTGAATTCTCACTAAGTTTGTTATAACCAAAACTGCTTTAAACTGAAACTCTATTTACTCTCGAAATGGGCAAATGAAGACATTTACTCCTATGTTTATCCCTTGTATAGTGTTGAGTTAGTTTCTTTGCAGTCTTCAAGAAGTTCATGGAAAATGAGTATTATGAAAAATTATGTCTGAGTTTCCATTTTTTACTTCAAAAATAAGCTCATACGTTAATTTCATTTTTCCATAAACTTTTGAGGCCCCCCCCTCCCATGTATATGTTTGTTAGGAAGTGATAAGGGACATAAATCTTGAAGCCCTTGGGGATGTCTGCATGAAAAAAGCTAGGAGAAAGCTTTAAAAAATATGATCTCCATAAATTAATAAATACATCTACAAGTAAATTTATAGTTTATTAATAAATTCAAATAAGTGATTTCATGTATTTGAGCTTATTAATCCTTGAAATTATTTGACTGGAAATTTGAAAAGATTGTAAGTAGAGCTGGGGTCTACTCACACTTACCTTAGAACCTGTGATTCTGCCAAGCAATGGGTTTATCTAGTATAAACCTCTTCTACCTGCTCTCAGTGATATGCTGTTACTGCTGCCGCTTCCATCACTGGGGCTGTGAGGATGATTTTCTCTTCCTGGTCACAGCACAAATCCATTGTGTATTCACTGCTTCTGTTCTTGAATAACCATCCCCACCACCTACTTCTTTCAGAAAGCCTTCTACCCTTCTGGGACCAGCAGATGGCATAATGGTTATGTCACTGGACTCCCACATAGTTGACCACGGTTTCAGTCCCAGACTCAGCAGCTTAAAACACATGCTGGCTGCATGTGTGTGCCTGCCCAAAATCCTAAGTGAGGAGTGATTTCTCACTTTTTGTCTCTCCGATAGGCACACGCACCTTATACCAAAAATCTCTAAAAAAAGAAAGGAAAGAAAGCCTTCCACCATTCAAAAACTGGCTTTCAGGTCTTCTTGGTCACTGAAGTTCTCTGCACCATGTTGGCCCTGCCTCCTCTACCTGGCCAAGACTGCCTATAGGTCCAATTAGGAAGACCATGAGCATCCCTCCCCACCAACCCAAGCAAAGGTTTGGAGGATTCGGCAAAAGGAAGATACTTCTTTTTGAGTGCTAGGCTCATTTCGCCAAGCGCAGTGAAGACGAACAATAACCCATGCGTTTCTCCATGGTTCTGAAGTCTTCATTGCTTCAAGGACTGGGGCTTGTATATTGTAGTTTTAACTTCCCTGAACTGGGCAAGGACAATCTAAGAGAACTAAATCAGTTATTTTATGAGGATATGTCCTGTAGTGAATAGATGTCACAAGTAGCAGTCCATTTTGATGAACTTCAGCATATCTACCCCATCATGCTCTCTTTTGCTGCTTTCTCTAATTTTAACTCCTTGGCTACCTGCTCGACAGTCGTAGAATTTTATCCTCTGCCTACTGAGTCTCTGCAGCTCTTTTTTTAATTATTTTATTTTATTTTTTATTTATTTTTATTATTTTTTTTAGTTTCTGTCTTCCATGAGCAAGACAGACAGCAACCCCAACAGAGTCCTCCCACCACCATCTACCCCAAACTTCAGCCAGTTTGGGATCATGGGCTTTATAAGCCTGACATATTCAGGGAGGTCTCTGGACATAAACCTGAACCCTTCCCATGCATGTCAGCCTCACAGAGCATTGTGCCCCTACCCAGCCCCTGGTTGGCAGGTGTGTTTGTGTCATCTCTTGGTTTATTTTTCTGACTTCAGTTATTTCTAGGTTTCTTACAGTTTGGTTCTAGGCCCATTGTATCTACCAGAATCCATAGTTTCAGGTCTAGCTCGTGGTATCTACTGTCTGTTCCCAGGAAGCTTTACCCATAGCTTCAAACTTTCATGTCCTCAAACTGATGTCTTACCCTGTTTCAACAATTGTTTTTTTTTTTTTCCCCGAGTTTCTAAACTAGATGGTCACTAGGCTTACGAGCCCTTTGCTGATCAGAATACAGTATGTAGTGTATGCCTGTTGAGGATGTCTTTTTAACTCTCTCTTGTCGGAGAATTAATTTTCTACTAATAACTAGAGTGTAGGTCCACAGTCTATTACTGGTTTTTCTTTTTTTTGGAGAGGTTTTTGCTATAGGGTGCGTGCGCTTGCCGGACAGAGAGAGACAAAAAGACGGAAAGCGAGAAATCACCCCCCAGGAGGGATGGCCACACCACAGTCCCTTCTCCATTCTCCTCTTGGGATCTTGGGCACACACGTGCACACGCCCCGGCGTGACTTTTAAGCCACCGGGTCCAGGACGAGAACCACGGTCGACTACGTGGGAGTCCAGCAGCATAGCCATTACACTAACTGCTGGTCCCCATATTACTGGTTTTTCTTTGGTGGGGAGGGGAAGAGGTTTTTGCTATAGGGTGTGTGCATTCACCAGAATGACTGAGAGGGACAGAGAGACAGAAAGTGAGAAATCACCCCCTGGGGGATGACCACACCGCAATCCCTTCTCCTCCATTCTCTCTCTTGGGATCTTGGTCACATGCATATGTGCCCGGCATGATTTAAGCCACTGGGTATGGGACTTGAACTGCGGTTGACTACATGGGAGTCCAGTGACATAGCCCTTACACCAACTGCTGGTCCCTCACAGTCTGATTACTGTTAATGCCAGGCTTCAGCCTAGAACATTTTGAATTTTGAGTAAATGACATAATTATGACTCAGTTATAGATTATTCATGACAGCAGTAGTGGAGTTGAGAGTCAGATGACTGAAGTGTGTGTCCAGGGACAGGGTAATCCAGTAACAGTAGGCAGCCATTCTCCAGTGCTGATGGTGCCTGAATCCTCACAGACCATCCCCGTGCAAAACCTGAACTCTGCCTTGCCTTCTTGCTTCCTGCCTGAATCTGTTCCTCTATTTTTCCTATGAGTCTCAGAACTTCCTTTAATAAATTCCCTTTCTGCTTAAATTAAACAGGGACCACTACTGTTCTTTACAAGTAAGGACCATTACCTAATCTGTGGTACCTACTTGTACTGTGAAGAGTGGACTTAGATTTTGAGAGGGCAGCACCTTCTGCCAAGTTTAGAATGGAGGATAGGGTGGGGGAGTTGATTTTCAGAGAGAAGATGAAGCTGATGTACACCCAGAAGTGGCAGTAAGGGATTGTAGGAC